CTTGAATAGAAGACGCCAAATTGAAAACTCATACATTACCGCAATTGATAAAAATCTACCAACTCTCAGCTGACTTTTGGTCAATCAAATTGAGCCGTTTTGTTTGCAGCAACGTTTTCATTGTGCGGCCTCGCCATGTTCTGTGCGTCTTGTCAGTCAAAAGCATCCCTGTGACGCATGCAAGATCTTCTATTTGACGGGGTCTTTATTGATCGTTGTAACACGATTTGTTTTGAGAAAAAATGAAAAAGCAACAAAGTCTAAGTGGTAGAAGTTATCGCTGCTACTTCGGAGATCACCACATCTCCTCATCAGATTTCTTTGTCTAGACTTCAGCAGATATCGAACCCGCATTATAGATGTACAAAGTCAGCAAAGCTAACCGCTGAGCCAAGCACACCTTGTAAACTCTTAAACACTTTTTGATTTTTCTCGATTGAGGAGCAGAAAATTAGTTTTGTCGTCTAGAGAAGTGAAGTGACTGATAGACATAATTTACATACATATGTGTTGATATATGGGCATCTTTTTTAACTGAAATGACTTACCTTTTCAAACTTTTCGAAACAGTTAAAGAAAAGGCAACTTAAATGGTAGTCCAAATTGTGCAAAGAAGTACATTTGACGGTACTGCGGAGTACGAAGTAAAACGGTTCAAAAACGAAGAACTCCAGAAAAAAGTACGGTTGGTAAAATTATGTGTGGTTGATAGCCTCAAGAAACTTACTATTGACGTCACTTTGAATGTCAATTAAAATTCTAGGCCCAATTTCGAATTCCAAGAGTTTTTCATCTTCAATGATTTTTTGATTGAATGTAGTGCCCGCATTCCTAACTTAGGACAGGTTGAAGTGGTTGCCTGCATCCAGATGGCGAAAGAGACACTCAAAGAGTCAGTTTATCAGTGCCAGTTTAAACCTTAATTACGTAAACTGCATTTATATTGAACAGCTGCCTAACATAGTAATTTTGGCGTATTCTTATTTTTGCTTTTGCTTTTTTCCTTGCTGCGTTATTCTCGCAGTCGAAAGCAACTGTTTAAGCAAAATTTGAAAATTTAGCTCCGCATTAGATCAGATGTTGCTATGCACATAAATATATAAAAGTACTCGCGGGAATAACGAAGTTAAGGAGATAATCTAAAGCTAGACTAAAGACCCCTAACTTGCTGCTTGCAGCAACAGCAAATTTTTCTATACTGGTTGCTTCGGCTGACTGTGTAAGAAAAAAGCAAACTGCGATATAAGCTGAATCAAATGATTTCATTGGTCATTTTCGCTTTTGCTGTCTGCTTTCGCTGATTAATTAGTGTTAGTCGTAGCTAAGCAATTGAGAATGCATTGAAAATGATCAAGAGCTGCTTGCTTTAAAAAACAAAAAAAGTGTCGTTTATGCTATTTCGCAGTCAACAATTCAAACCCTGCCAACTGCATACCCAAATGCTTCTAAGAAATTTAATTAAAAAGCCAGAAATTTTGCGAAAAGTTTGAAATTCGTACTAACATGGTTTTTGTTAGATAGCTGTACTTAAAAACAAAAAATAAATAAATAAACAAAAGCAAAATAGCCGAAACTTGTTAAAATGCCGCCTCCCTCTTTCTATTTTCGCTACTATATGTTGATAGTTTTTCAAATAGAATTCATGCATAAAAAGGACAAAAATTTTACCTTAAAGTATATTATTATGTTCGTAAACGATTTTAATATTGCACCTCAGGTCACATTGGCTTTTCGTCAATTTGCATGCGCTTGTATGGAAATTATCTACAAGCTCGCTATATTATTTACAAGCATATGCTCTTTGTTTTTATTTTGAATGACCTGTCAAAAACAATACAAGTTCGTTGCTTAAGTCTTTTGTTCTATGGCGAGCGTAATTTGGTAACCTGAACCGTTTGTCAACAATCATGTTGATTTAATGCTATGCACTTGGGTGTAGCCGAGCTTAAGTTAGTACATACATACATACATACATACATATGTGCATATGTGTAAACATGCTGGCTGTATGTATTTAGTCAAAAGTCAAATTACCTGGAAAAATGATTGCATTAATTAAATATATACAACGTCAATTATACAAGGTTAGGTGAAGTTGATTGCGAGTTCCCTGGCAACAAACTAAATATGTATGTATGTATGTATTTTTGCGTCAATTTAACTTATATGCCATACAAATTGATTTGATGTCAAAGAATATGCCGGAAATGCAGAACGAAATTTTGTAGAGGATATAATGCATTGAAAATTATTTGGTTTCACTGTAATTTGAGTTTGGTTAGAAATGTTCATATGAAGTTACATGGTACATATACATAGTTATTTGCGCAGAAAATTATCGCTAGTTACATTTTAAATTTAGAAATAATCAATATTTTGTTTATTCTCAAAGGTGTTCCGTTTCAATAGCTCAACAAACTTAAAGTTCAGCAGCATTTCATACATCTAACAAAATCATAGTTTTATTACATTCGAATTTATAAATCATTTAATATCATAGCATAAGCAATTATTATTCATTCTACGAGTAAGTCCAAGGCTATATCACTGCAGCCACACCTCCGCATACATTTAGTTGTTGGCGAAAAAAAAACTTTAAAGTAATATTTTTATATTATACCTACTAGTAATTACTAATTCATCGATATCCGGGACAATTGTAGACACTTAGCTCAGTAAGTGACGCAGGCTGTTAAAAGCAAATGTAAAAATAAAATCAGAATTTACAAAAGCGTGGTATCTTTTGTTCTATGCAGTTTAAAAGGGACAATTTTAAGAGATATTCGCTAACGTGTTGTGAGTTACATATATGCATTCCTTTGAAGGCTTGAAGGCTTTTGAAATGCATACATACACTACGAAAAAAATGTTTGATGTTTTTGTAATTTTCGTGCTTATGCACTTGAGTCAAAATATAATAAACACTCCATCTTAATTAAATATTTACCAAACTAAAAGCCAGACTCATGTTTGTTGCTCAGTCCCGCTAAAACGGCCACACATATGTATTTCAATGGATTTGGACATTCAGTTAGGCTATAACCTGGGTCAGTATATAACATGTTTTTTAAAAAAGTTTAACTTTTTTCAAAAGTTGAATCCATTAGTCAATAATTAACTTATCAAATATTACAGTAATGTTGGTAGCAATTCAAAGGATTTCAAACAACTATTTATTTCTAAACGCTCAAATCAGTTTAGTTAACAAATTAAGTCAAATATTTTAATATAAAGATGCTTAAGAAAGTGTTATTTCAAAAATATGTTTGAAAAAGTTTGCACCTGTTTGGAAATTCTAAATCAATTTAGTTAACAATGGGTGTCAAACGCGTGAGGTAGTGATGTGATGTTCCGAGTACCGGGATTTTGGATCGTTTCCGTTTCCCAAAAAAGTGATAACCGAAAAAGGCGCTTTCCAAATAGCTTAACAAAACATTTTAAAAAGTTTTTACAAAAATTCAATTCCTTTTTATATTTTTGTTATAAACTTAAGCTATAAATAAATATGTTACATTCATTACATAGTTGATATTTGTCTTCCAAAACTTGTATAAAAATAAAATACATTGAACTAAATTTAAATACGCGTTTTCCACTTTAATACTTCATTTACAACAAAGGAATGTTTCCTTTTAAAAACAAGATTATTTCGATGTTGGCGCTGCTTCAACTGCGATTTCGACACAGAAAAAACAACGAAGTTGATGTAAATCGGCCAGCTCCGATTTATGGCGGATATATATTGCCTTGAAACGAACAAAATTTTATAGGTCAACTCAGAACTCTATAATACGTTTCTAAACCGAGCTTCGGACTGAATTCTTCGTGTTTAGATTTTATGCCAAAACAATCAATCTTTTGCCAATTCATTCATTTCAATTTTCATTCGGGCTTTCTTAAGTGGATTAAGTCTTATCTTAGAGGTTGAAGAACTTCGGTTGTCTTGGATGGAATATGTTTTAAGACTATAAGGTCTTCCATATCGGATATACCACAAATTAGCACACCACCACCATTATTTTATATTTCATTTATAAACTAGCAAATACCAGCCGTGCTTCACTGCGGCTTAAAAGAATTTTTGTATTGCTACTTTATTTATTTTTTATTTACTGGAAAACAGCATGTAATGAACTTTAGAAACAAATTTCAAATCTGTATATTTTTTAGTTCTTGCGACCATGGAAACGGAGCATATCTAACTACCTAAATACCAAGCTATCTTATCTTAGTCTATCTTTCACTGTAGCTCAAATATAAGCGTGCCCTAGTTAGGGCGATGGTGTTAAGCTTATTTGTTGCCTTATACTTAGTTCACAAAAAAATGATAATTGTGTAGAGGTTTGTGTTTAGTATTAGGTGAGGTTAGTATTAGAACCTCACAAATTTTTGCTCCTTTTGCACGCAGTTTATTTAAGCGACATCTTCCATGCAGGTCCCAGCAAATGCCATTGAAAATATCGCCAGTCTTTGATACATTTTGTGATTATCAATTTAATAGCTAAATTTTTTTCGCCTAAATTCCGAAAATTTAAAAGTAAATACTTATATAGAGATTTGGGGCTTCTTAAACTTTAAGTTAGCCTGGACTGTAAACTTATACTAATTTTAACTTTGCAAATGACGCGTGAACGCTTCTCATTGGCCTTAATTAATTTCGGTTTATTTTATTCAAATGGAATCCCCTCTCATACATACATACATATTTATATCGATATGAGTGCAAGTTATTCACATGGGAGCAAGTACAATTGCAGTAGGTAGAGAAAAATTGATGTTCGGTGCCGTCGCAACAAGTATTATGGCTAAGTAATAACAATAAATAAAGAGCCAAAATGACTTTCTCACAAGCTCAGCACTATATGAATGACTATAACCCATATCGATTGCCCCTTTCCCCAATCATAACCATTAAGCGCTTTTGAAATACGATCAATTGAAAAACTTGAAAAAAAAAATAAATGACACACCATAACACTAAAGTGACGCCAATTAATTTTTGATTTCTTCACTTAATTTCACAGATGTTGGCGCGAACACCGACAATCGACACACGGCCCGCCAGCGCAGCAATAACACAAACAACCGATCTCATTGCCGGGAATGAGTTCCTCAAGTTGTTGTATGGAAGCGACGAGTCGCAGCGCAAACTGCATAGCGGTGAGTACGACGAAAATGAACGTGCGGTGCGAGGAATGGGAGTTCTGCGAGCTGGCAGCAGCGACAGTTCAAGCCGAGCTACTGTTAGGGAAAGGCGGGTGACGCGCGCCGATCACTACCAGCCGACAGCTGATCCAAGCACGCATGTAAGTGCTTTAGACAGCAGAGGTGCGGCTGCGCGTAGCCTTAATTACAAGAGTCGCAATGTGCAGAATGAAGCGACTGCGACGACGACGCCGATAAAGGTGATAGCGGACGAGAGCAAACAGGTGGTGAAGCTGGTGACGTCAGGCAGCAAAATTGTCTTCCTAGAAGAGTACGATGACAATGACGCCGTTGTAGATGCAGTGGCGCGTGACATTGATCTGCAAAAGGAAAATGTAAAAACGCAAAGCAAGCAGATGGCAAAGGAAACCGCAACGAAACAAGTGCAAATGCAGCACGGGTCTAATCCTACCGATGAAGTCAAGGTGGTGGCGGTGAGTGTGTCATCTTCTAGCAAACGTGGCGGTTTCAGTCGTGACCATAATAATTTCAACACACCTGACATAGTTATGTCAAAACAGGCCAATAAATTTTCCAACGCGCGTGCGTCATTGCACCGGCCTGACACAGTGCTACAGCAGTACCAACAAGATCTACATGAGCGCGCTGACAACACTCAAAGCGATGGTAGCGTGTCAGCCGTGAAGTTGACACTAACTACAACACCACCAACAGCGCCAATGACAGCGTCCGCCACCTCAACAATGGACGACTTTGTTAATCGCTCACACAAAAGTGAATTCTCCATAGAGGAAGCCGAGCCACTGACAATGTCTCCGCAAAAGTTACGTGGCTCCCCGCATGCGGCACGCGCCAGCAGTCCGCGTTCACTGCACACGCCACATGCCGTCAGTGGACGTGCCGTCAAAATGGCTGCCAGTTTGCCAGATGTGGTCGACTCGGAGAATAGCGCTTCAACGAACATACAAAACGTGTTGGCAGCGCCGCTGGTTCAGTCCGCCTCGATGCGAACCGCCACTGTTAGCGCGTTAACTACGTATCACCGCGGCAGTGGCAGCAGCAATCGTAACAGCACGTCCTCGCACATAAATCACAAGAGTGCAGCCACATTTGCGCATTCGCATGCCAGTAGTCACATTAGCGATGGCGTTGGCATAAGTGACACAGTTATGCTGGACACGTCCGCACCGGCTGCCAACGGTGATACCGATGCCGACGCCGATGTAGAGGAAAAATTGCTGCCCTTCCAAACGGTGATCTATCACAACACCAAGGAAGGTCATGGCCCGCAATCTCGATCGATATCGTACAGCTCGTTATCGCAAAATGTCGACGATTTGCATGCATGGCGGCACTCGGGCATTTTGGCCGAAGCACAACGCAATGTCAGCGAGAGCTTAACGCCTATAACGCGCGCGGAGTTGGCGCACACCTCGGAACCGGCTAAGTTCTATTCCGTGCCATCGAAAATGTACAGCGAACCGTCAAAGTTTTATTCAGAGCCAGCCAAGGTTTACTCCGAGCCGGCTAAAGTTTACGGTGAGCCCGAGAAATTTTTTTCGGAACCTGCCAAGGTGTATGGACAACCATCAAAGTTTTATTCCGAGCCGGCGAAAGTGTACTCACAGCCATCCAAAGTCTACGGCGAACCAGCAAAAACGTATTGGTCTCCAAGTGCCGGCTTGCCTATCGCAACTACTTCCACCACAACCACTAACACAACCAGTACATCATCAAATTCAACAACAACAACAACGGTCCGACCTGGACGTTACATGCCTTCACGTCGTCCGGCGATCGTATCACGCATTGCTTTTGGCGAGGCACAAACTTCCACAACAGCAACACTTGCCATCGACGAACACGCTCCAGCAACAATGCCAGTTCCCACTACTCATCATCATCATCAAGAACACCACGCGCAGCACCAGCCGCAACACACACGTTTTCATCCACATGCCCATAGTCATGGTGCGCAAAATTCGCCGCATGGTGAGCATTCTACACATGGCTCAGCGTATGCCCACTCGCATTCGGCAACAGCATCACAACCTGCTCAACCGCAGTCACAATCACAGTCACATTCAGCGCAATCGCAGCCACGTCGTGTACTCTTCAACTTAGATAAATTACCGTATGATTTATTGAATGCGCCAGTACAATCATCGCAACATCTCTTGAATCCCGACTTCTCGCACAGCCCACCAGCGGCTGTAACCTACTCGTCGCCCAGACAACGTCAATGCCTGGAGTCCGCCTTCTCAGCGTCACTGTCTCAATCAGCCTTGCAACAGCAACAGCAGCTGCAGCAGCAACGTCAACATTCATCATTGTCGGACCAACATTCTAATCAAAATGCCAAAGGATTGCCTAATGGAGGTGAGTACGAAAAACGAAGTGCTCATCGCCGACAAAGTGCAGCCTTTGTAGTGCTTGTGCTTTATTATACATAGTAGTATTTTATGTAAATGTGTGTATATTTATGGCTCAGATGGTTTAATTTATGCTAAACGTTAGCGGTGTAAATGTTTTGAGTTGGTTATAATGTTGCATTTCGGCAGTTGTTAGGTTAATGATGATGTTAGTTATTGGTGAGAAGAGCCAAAATATTTTATGGTTCCAGAGACAATGTGACCACTGAAAATGCGCCTTTATAGACAAATGACTATGAGGCAATAACCCAGTATGTGATTGCTAGTGTATTTTACATAATATTCGCAAGATCTGGACATTCGCAGTACAAATGGTCGACAGTTTCTTTTCTATCCTATATTTTACAGCTGCGGGAGAGAAGTCCTATTCTAGTTGCATGTTTGCCGGGTGATCGTCTATGCGGAAGATATTCTACTGTTAGTAGCGATAGATTTCAGATTATTATTGGACACAAGAAATTGGGTGTATCTCCCAAAGTGATTTCCCGGTTCTATGAAACCATAGCTAAGCCTATTATAGAGGCTTTGTCTGGTAGAGTTCACTGCAGAAGACTGCACTAGTCAGAGGGCTGGAGCGAGTGGGGAACTTAGGACAACCCCCAACTTGGTTTTCGAAGCTATGCTTAACATAACTCGATATATGGCCGCGTTAGTATTCTCGGATGCTTCGATTTCATACCTGATAACACGGAGCTCTTTCACAATACACATCTCATCAATACATGAACGGATGGAGGGGAGTGGTTGGAAGGGGACACCAGTGAACTATTATACCAAAGCTTGGCGGAAAGGTCGGTGGACAGATCTTTCCCAAGGAAGTCTCTATCTACCTTAAGTTAAGGCTCCCAGATCACGTCAATGTTCACCAATTAAATTTTGCTGCTATTACGAAAGCAGTTGGTTGGTTGCTGATGTGAGTTATGGCCGCAAGGGAGGTTAATACCTACTCAAACTCAAACAGCCAGGCGGCTTGCGGAGGCCTGGACCCGATTATGGCACACTCGAAGCCTGGCTATAGTGATATCGCAAGAAAATGCTGCTGCGAATTGTGCTGTCAAGAAAATACCATCAATAAAATAAAGAGTAAGAGTTTCCTGTGGCTCGACAACCTACAAGGACTCAATATTTGTGGGTCTATTGATAGTAATCTTTCCGATTGGGATTCACGAAGTGAGATTATTTAAATACAACACCTGCTCCTCTTGATTGCAGCAGCATGGTGGCTGGCGAGGTGGAAGCATCCTAGAATTTTCTCTTAGACTGCCGAGCTTGGGTAGACTGCGGTTTAGACACCTGAGACGGTACTTTCTAACCGGTTCGGAGCAGCTCTTTGGTACCAAGATCTGTCGCCTAGGAAACTTCGTTCTCGTCACGCAGCAATTTTCGCTATAATTTAGCAGTTTCCGTTCGTAGTGCTCACGGTCTTTGTGTGCCCCCTGAATTGGGGCAACCACCTAAAGCCAACCTAACCAAACCTGGCTTGGGGGCTAGTTCTAGTGCCAGTAGTTGCCACTATTATGACTTTTCTTTTTTTTTTATAGCGCGGCAAGAGACTCTTAATATCTTGCAAGTACACATATCTGAACACCTGTTTTTATCCTATTCAAGGAAATGCAGTTTAATTACCTTTTGGATTATTCCAAAGGACCACCCCATAGTTTTCAAATATACCTAAAATTTCTGCTTAGAAGATATTTGCCTCTACACCGCAGTCCATCTGGATTTGTAGGTGTGGAAAAATAACCTCTTTATCGGCTGCTTGATCTCTTCTCCATTCTCTTCTTGTTGGGAACCTCACTTGTACGTTACTACTGAAGTCGGGTTTGGCGGCGATAGAGTCGATCACCTTTTCAAATGTACATTTCAGTAATGCTCGAACTTTATCGTTATCTACGGCACTAGTTCATCAATAGATATCATGTTAGGCTTAGCGCTTCCCTGAAGTATATGCTATCATTTTATGGATTTGAAGAGGTTGACAAACTATCGGTGTCGTATATAATCTTCAACCTGTCCTCGATCAATTCAATAATGTCTTGGCTGTCGATCCAGGTACAGGCGATGCTGAATTCGCTGGATCGCGAAATTAGGCTAATGTCTCCAAACAGTAATTTTTTCAGATATAATTTTCTCCCTTTATAAGTAATACATTTGTGTATTATTTCTTAATGACTTAACTGAACCTGACTTAGTCTGTGGAACTTTCTATAGAAGAACAGTTAACTTGCCACAGTTTAGAAGTCTTTTGTTAGGCGCTCGGTTTTTATTCTAAAGAAATCATTGAAAATTTACCTAAGAGATGCTTTCACATTTTCGCGGCATTGAGTTTGGGCGATATTTTTAATGCTCCCTTTTCGTCTCTTCTATATTATTTACTCTGTTATCAAGTTCCTCTCTTGTTGTTATATTCTTCTCCTATTGGAGATCATAAAGAGATTGTAATGAGGTATGCCCGAACCGACGTAATGCTATATCTAGAATATCTGTCATTCCTTAAGCCAGTTAGTTTTAATTTCACTCCAAATCCTTTTTTCTGAAGTTGGTAGGGTAAAAAAAATTTTAGGTTCCTTATTAAGGTGCTACGTTTTTGAATCGGGAAGACTTCTATTGGCAACAGGTGAAAGATCATTTACAACTATCCGTGGATGGTGCCTATTCCATCTGCAAAAATAAGTCTTCTTTTCATTCCTTAAAATCAACGATAATTCTCGTTGTGGTAGATATCTCTTATCCTTCTTAACTTAAGCCCAAAACTCTTACCATTGACCATTTTGAATGGCTCGGTTCATAGTGATCTTGTAGTTTTGTTTTGAAAAAATCTGTGACAGTGGCAAATTGTTTGTCCATAAATGGCTTGATTCTAGATCGTGTTCTACTACATATACACAGCTGGTCAGGCCAGGGAAGGAAAAATCTGGGCACAACTATCAACACACTGACACTCTTGACAAACTTTCTCGGGTGGACAGAAGTAACTGGCATAGTAGCGCATAGGGGTAATAGAACTACGTAGTTAAGTAACAACGTAAACCTCAATAATATTTTAGAGGGGTTCCTTTTGAGTTAGTCAAAAACCTTAGCCAATCAGCATTCCTATTGGGTATGGAAGACCGTTTCCAGCTGAATTGATGAATAAGTACCAAATTTAAAGTTGTTTTATGGCACAAATTATTTCCAATTAACCACTGCATTTTTCAAATTTATGTATTTCTGCCAAAAGTTCTGTGTACATATTTTGTTTTCTTTTTGTTTCTTCTTTTCCATGCCACACTACCCAAACTGCAGATCTAGTCAAGTGTGTTTCCAAATACAACCAGCCATCGGCGGCAGCAGCAGCAGCAACGCCAACGGAGAGTAGCCATCATGGCGGCGACGACGATGACTTGTATACGCCGACCCCAGAGCAAAATTACGAAATAGAAGAATCCGTAAGTGTTATGACAAACGGACGAGCCCACGGTGTACAAGGCAATTCAGCGGCGACGACAACAGCAAAGCCATACCGCGGTGGGGTACACCATCAACAGCAGCAGCAGCATCACTATCATAGCAACGCCAACGCAAATAGCAATTTGGACAACAATTACGATGACAATGGTGGTGGCGGAGACGATGGTATTGATACGGATGGCAGCAAAACTGGCAACGAAGACGAGGATGCAAAAGTGGCGTATGTAGTGGAGGGACGCAACTATCGCAAGTATCGCGTGGAGGAGAAGACGGACGATGGTTTTATTGTTGGCGAGTACGGCGTGGTGGACCATAATGATGGAAATTTGCGCGGCGTGCGTTATACCGCCGATTCGACCATCAATCGCAGTCTGATACAAAAGGCGTTGTTGACATTTCTTAAGCTCAAGTAGTCAAATGGGCTTTGAGAAAAAAATGTTGGTAAGGAGACATTGTTGCAAAGAGGTGTATGGCGTTTGGCGTTCGACGAATGGTGAGTGGTGAGTATTGAATGTATGGTCAGTTGGCAAGCAGATAGCGAATGGCGGTTGGCGTGGTGTGACAGGCGACTTTGCAAAGGTGGCAATGTGGTGTGAGTGCGCAGGCGCCAAAGATCAGCGTGTACGACTGCAAGCGCATCTCCAACGTAAGCGAAAGAGATGCGAATTGCTGCCGCGCATGATGTGATCACCGAATTTATTGAGCGCTTTGCGAAGTTTAGCTTGGAGACGATTTGGCGTGTATGTGCGAACTGAAATTTAAACCGATGCCAACGACAACGCCAACGTCTATGCTAATGGCGATGCCGATGCCATGGCGGTTATGTGCGCCCATTGTAGACACAGTGTCGTTGAATACAAAGTATTTCTTGTCTATTCCTTGTGAATTGTTTATTTTTATTTTTTTTGAATTTTTATTTTTATGTTTTGTACTTTTGTTTAAAACCCATTATTTAGACAAGCTAAAAATATGTGATCCAAGTCGTACTGTAGGTAGTTTAAAACGAATACACCACTACATATGTAGTATATGAAAATAGTTTGATAAGAAAATTCAACACACAAACACACTAGCTCACTTAGGCACAAATGCAGACACACTCACACAAATATATTTTAAGTTTACTTACGTAAGTGCATACATACCTACATATTTATATTTACAATAAGTAGTTAGAAGATTCTTGTAACTAGCGCTCTTTTTTTAACTATAGCTTATGAAACTACAGCAATGCGCATTGATTGCAATCGATTGTGAATATAATTTATTATAATTTTTTTTTTCATATTTATTTTTAACTATGTATTGTTCAAGTACGTATGTATGTACACTCAATTTACCTGCATACATATGCATGAGCACACGTATGTATGTATGTACATATGTATAGTTTTAATGGCTTAGTCTTCGTTTTTTTTTAGTTATGTTTAGTGATTTATTGCAGATAAAACCACTTGCCATACATTTACGTATCAAAAGCAGAGCAAATAAAAACAAAAAATGTAATTTTAGTTGTAATTGTTGTTTAGCAAAAAATTTTATATCTTACATATATATCATAATTCTGCTAAGTAACAGCGATGCATGTTTAATACTCATTTGCAACTCCAGTATGTCGATATTATTTTTCATGGACTTAGTTTATAGGTACACAGTTAAATATAGGTAAATTTTTAAACATACATATATATTCTTTATCCCTGTACTGTCCAATGATATATAGACGACCTTTCCGTAACAAAAAAAAATATATAAAAAAAAAATAAAAAATAAATAAAATAAAAAATGGCAAAGAAATAAGTTATTATAGACCGAGGAAACCGATGATCTATTGTTTTTCATATACAGTATATCGCCGCTTGGCGCGCAATACCTCGTACACACCAAATGCAATACCACGTTTACGATAGTCCGAATATTTCACAAAAGTGCAAATGAACTAAACTTTTGAATGGTTTCCTAACTGAACTTATTATATATGAGCCTATACTGAAATTATTGACCATTAAATTTGCGAAGTAGGGAAGCCCTAAGACAGGGTACTGAAAATAAGTTTTTTTCTCAACCACCTCATACGTGATATTGCATTTGGTGGATATGAGCTATTGCGTGCCAATTGTTAAGGTTGCCAAGGTTAAAAGGGTATAATTTATTTGTTAATTTTTCATAAAGGTATGGTTCATGCTTTGACCGAAACCATATAAATCAAGCTTTCACAGAGCTTTATACAGAGCTTAGAAAAATTTAACAAATTTTCATTAAAGTTTTGAGCTTTTTAATGAGCATGCATATATATTTGTTGTCCATTAATTTTTTTAAGCAACTGCAAAATCGGGTTGATTTCAATTTTTTTTTTGCTGACGGCAGATTAAAAAGCGTAAGATTTTAATGAGAATTTGTTAAATTTTTATAAGCTCTGTATAAAGTTTAAAAGCTAGACTTATATGGTTTTTGCTAATGCATGAACCATATTATTATGAAAAAGAATAAACAGAGTTTTTACTAAAAATCTTGCAAATATTTAACAAAAATCACAATACACACATTTTTGCTCCCCATTGAATAATACGAATACATTAAAAAAAAATAAATCTTTTCCAAAGCAGTCAAAAATTTCTGTCAGAATTTTTTTTTTCCCAAATGGGATGTGAATGGGTTAACTTCTCTTATTCAATAATTTATTTATTTTAGAGTTAATTTAATAGCAGTGCCCTAGGAGTGGTGGAGAAATGGCAAGCCTATTCAAACAAAAAAAAAATAAAATTTGCTTTTTACAGGCTAACCTAATATTCACGCATGCCGGCAATTATCTGTCAAAAATTTCTTATACTCAATTTGTATGAGACAAACCGTTATTGAACGACGTGCGTAAAAAGCATGAGATTCCGATTTGTTGTGTTGTTTAGTGAAATGCAAGCCTATATTGGGTGGCGCAAAAAAAAAATAAATATACGGAGTGCGGATATGAACGGTACATCCCCATAATCAACGTTTATGCTGCTGAGATAAGCAATGCTGTTTTAAATTGCTCTTTTTGAAGGTTCACATGCAAACGCAATTGGCCCATTAAGAATTTTTGGCAAAAATTAATAATATTTGACAGTTAAGAGACCTAATAATTTGAGAGGAAATTCAAATCAGCTGATCTACATCTACTGTTATTATTTACCTGCTTGTTATGCCTTGCTCACCGCTAAAATTCATTGAGATTCCTCTAGAGGTAGCCATAAATTTATTAGATTGCCTTTTTCCCTTTGTCACTCGTCACTGGGCGACAACCCGAAAGTCCTTTCATTTACTTAGGAACTCTGCTGTGTAACCTATTGACGACCCACAGAATGAATGTGGACCATATGGGCTCTTTTGGGACGTATGTTTCGCAAGGGCATCAATTCTTTTGCCAACATCAAAATTCTCATGTCCCGAAATGCACCAAAGAATGGACTACTTGGTCATTATACCTGACCAGGTATGGCATGGTTTTTGAAAGCATCAAGTGCCCTGAAAGGTCTTAATTGCTTACGTTTGCTAAGTTGCTAAGTCGCAAAGCACTCTAGTAAGCCACCTTATAACTGTAATTATACCCACTACTTCCCTTGGGCAGGTGAGCATAGCTCTAGTAATGACTATACAGACTTAGCGGTGCAACTTCCCCAGATAATCGGTTTTATCACTGTAGTGAATGACTAAAACTCAGTCGATTATTTTGTGTTGATATTTCGCCTCTTGCGATAAATAGTCTCTCCTAACGTGGGCTTAGTCAAAATAGTAACTATTCTTTTAGTGAAGATGACTATTAAGGACTTTCGAGGGTTTAAGACCACCTTTTCGCAGTCAACTTTAAGGCTGCCTGCAAGGAATCGTATCTTCAAACGAGCCCACCAAGTAGATGATTAGATCATCTGCATAGCCAAAAGCGTTGCATCTGTAAGATTCGTACATAAAAATCCATCCTATACTTAACTGGAATCGAAGATGTTAATTCTTACTTTTTATATCGCTTGTGAGAAGAATTAAATAACTATTGAATTTGTAAATTTAGATAGCAAGCAGTGATGACAGTTAAGTCGCCGATGGGTGTCAACATCAAAAAGTAGTTTTTGTATAAAATGTAGGGAGGTCGTATTGAATATAAGCCCTCGATATACAAATTTGGAAAATCGCATCGATTCCAAATCGTTCGATTTTTAGAACAGGTCTGAAATGTCGCTGAATGCGCAAAAGGCTATCTGCTTATACTGCAATTAATTTTTCAATAACCTGAGTCAGGCATATTGCGGTAATAGTAGATTTTCCCGCTTGAATAGTATGCTGAATTTCACAAAAAGGCTTAACATTTAAGAGCGTACCCCTGATGTGGAAATCAGGGAAATTTTTCTAAGGTATGGTCTGGTCATTTGGGAGATTTCCTGAGTAATTGCCCGTATCAGGGATGAATACAACCTTTAACAACTTCCATGATGATGTGGGTGCGAAAGCAATAAACTTCCCAAGATATTCTAACTGATGGTCCAGTGATTGTATATGCATTCTGTTAAAAAATTATGTACATAGGTAAACTTCATTTGGACCAAAAGATTTGCGACAGTAACTTTTAGATATGAATTCTCTGTTTATGCTTGGCTGGGCTCAAATGATCGGAGTAGCAAAACCTCAACTGCCTTTGCTGCTGGGAAACGGAGAGTTATCGGAATCTCAGGCTTAAGCAGTTGGATCTCTCTACTATACTTCCACATGTGAGAACTGATAAAAGTGGCAATTAACATATTGAGGAATTTGGTGAGATCTGCTACCGCATTGAACCACAATGTTTCTGCTAGAATCAGTGGCTTTGAAAACTTTTTACTTGTTGGTAACCTCCTGAACAACGCCGCACTGATTTTTGGCAGTTTGTGCGGCCTTATGATCACGTGTTGTTGAATATTCCATTTAGATTCGACTGTAAAAAATTTAGACCTCATTTTTGAGATATTCAAAATTATTTTACTTAATGAACGATGCCTAATAAATACGTTAAACAAACTCGAAATAGTTCAAAGAAAACGAACACGTGGAGCACAGGTTGGAGTTCTAGGACATAGCTCGTGTTGCACAATTCTCAACATTTCAATGATATTTTTCGTGTAAAATAAATAATACTTAATAAGATATCGACGACTTGTAATTGCAGATTTTGATTAAGTAAGTTTTACGGAATAAATAAATAAATAACAAAAAAAAATACTTTCGACCAGCAATTGCAAATTGCAATATTTCCTACAAAAGGTATGTAATGGCTACCTTGAATTGTTCCTTTTTAACAGAATGAAAAAAATACTCAAAAAATGAGCACAAATTAATATGTATACGCAAGAACTTCTTGAGAGTTTTAAAATAAGCTCTAATTTATTTATTTAAACTATATATTAGTTCACTTGCAAGTAATTTAGCGTAAATTTAGTATAGCAACCATAACGCATACACAGTTGAATTTGTAACTAAAGGCAGTTATCAGTACTTATTATTTTAATATATTAGTAAAAAAACAAAAATTTATAATTTATGTAGTATAAATATCCGATTGATATTATGTAAATATTATTGTATATAATTACATATATGAATATTAATTTACTATTGTTTGTGTCTAAATGAATAAAGTCAATGCCAAGATGATTTATTACGAATAATTGCAAAATAAAAGCAAAAGCTAGAAACCACAACAAATGGTGTTCTTTTTATATATTTTCATTGGGTGGTGCACTATTGGTAAAGAAAAGATACAGTCTCTTGAACTTATTATTAAAAAAATATATTTTTTTAAGCTGTGCGATTTTGCGCCTAAATAAAAAAAAAATATTCCATATTTTTTCACAAGTGGGAAAAGGTATCCATATGGCGAATTATATCTACAGTAAAGAATGTACACGAAAAAAACTAGTCAATTGTGTTTACTCATCACTTGCGTAAAATTAACTGTAAATAAAAAGTAGGTATACACATTCATAGGGTATATTGTCGTTGTTAATTTCGCGTATCTACTTTTTGTAACTTCTACGTACTCTTCAAAATGTGCAAAA